TTTATTTTATAACAGCATTGTTGGGTACTTTATTGTAATGTATAATTCATCCAATATTTATTTTTGCATATTTTTTAATTCCCAAAGCAATACTTTTATACACAATGCCTTTCCAATAGCAGTCAACTTTGAAGATGATTTATACTGTAGCCTCAAGGATGCAAGAACAATGAAGCAAATCTTAATGCTGGGTAGGTTTTCACAGATACCTGCTACCAAGCTGAGCAAAAAGCTCAGGATTTCAGTCCTTTCATAAAGATCTTCATTTAAAGCAAAATAATAATAATAACAATAAGCTTTGGAAAAGTTCAATTTTGAACCCTCTTGTGGCTTCTATGTCAAAAAGATGCATGTTACGTTATAGGCCTCATGCAGTTCATACTCGTTGCTGTTTTAGGCACTGCTTAAAGTATGAAACTATATTGGATTCAAGAAATATAATTTTTGGTATATGATAATTAAATGGTTCTCAAAAATAATTTTATGGGACTTATACTATCTGAAGGATGACTTGACGTGTGATGCATTTAACATGCACTGTCCTAATTTTTCTTATCCTAAACATCATACAATGAAGCAGAGGGTTGGTTTGTTAAGGAATTTCAATGAGGGTCTCATCTGAGAACTGAAATAAAACAGAGATGAACAGATTTATAGGTTCATCATATCAAAGAGGTAATCACTTGTGATTTTGCAACATTAAAACATTAAGAAATTATATATCTTCAATTACTTCATTTAACTAAAATGTGGCTTAAAAAAACCATAACTTTCTGGATGTAAAGCATTCTGGTAACATTGTTGTTCAGTAATCTTGCTTTTTTTTTGGTATGTTTGCATATTGCATCCAGAGCTACAGATTTTCCACAGTGCTTTTCTGCCTCATTCAAGTATAATAAAAGTAGAAATCTATAGAAGCTCTAAGGTTAACCAAACTGTACATCATACAAAAAATTAACTTAATTTACAGTCAAAAAGTATTGGCAATGCCCTTTATAAATCCTAGCAAAGATTCATCACAAAGAATATTACAATCTACGTATGTGTTCATCACCTTACAAATGCCATTTTGATTTATATAGTGCAGAATTGAGTATCTGTTAAGTGTACACATTTATGTGTAGAATCAGCAATTGGTACCATATACATTTCTTTTTTAAAGTAACAGTACTGTCAACACTAATCTAAGGTACAGGATTTTCTTATTGCATATTTATTGTTGCTGAGGCAGTTAGTTAAGATACAGTAACACAATATCCATAATTACTTTAAATAAAAACATTTCTTCTGCCAACAATATAAAGAAATTTTTTCTGAAATCACAATCACAAAGAAAATTGCTACATACAGTTTTTAACGCAAATACTGGAAAACACGACCTTAAGGCATCTGCTAGAACAGCAGATGTGTATATTTATATAAACTAAATTATGCAAGAAAAAATATTGCACAAAATCCTATTATTTTCAAAATAAAATGTTTCTAAATGTACATAATTCCTTATTTTTTCCATCAAATCATAAGGTTAACTGGTTTGCTCAAAACCATTCTGCCTCCTAAATAAGCTTTAAGAAACATACACTAACAGCATCACTGGGCTTGACAAAGGAAAGATACTAGAACTGATATGCGGTTTGTAAAAACCATTTCTTACATTAAGAAGTGCTTGGGGGAAATCAGATTTGGGGATTCAGTTTATACCCTTAAATATTCTGATTTTCAAGTATCTTCTCAGATTCTGGTTTTTTATGCATACCAAACCAAATGGAATTCTCATTAGAAAATGTATTCATGAAAATAATTAATACCTTCCTGAAAATTCAAATTTTCTAGGACAGAAGGAAGGTCTACTGATTGTGAGAATATTCACAGTTTTCTCCTCTTGATCAGGAGTTGACTTCTTCACCTTAAGAAAAAACTAATTCATTAGCATTCCAGAATTCTATCATTCGGATATTAACACAGAATACTAATTCCAACACTGTCGCATAGTTTTAATTTAAAGGGGAGGAACTCTTTCTAGAGAATGCTATTGTAAAGATCAAGAATAGCAGTCAGATTCCCATTAACATGCATCCATGTCCTTAGTTACTCCTAAACTCAGTAAAAGGGCCCTAAAGGGTGCAAAGGAGTATCATTATAGAGAGCCCTGTATCGTCTGGGGATCCTGCAGATTTTCAGATAAACAAGGACACTCAGCTTCGACAAAGTACCTGAATCCGTCCTTTAAAAGTGGATATCTTAGCAGCATTATTATACTTAGCACAATAATTGAGAAAAGTTAATGGAATTAGAACCAATATTATGTCTTCAGAGCATGCTTTAGATCAAGCAGCCATTGAAAATAACACAACAACTTTTTTTCCTGGTATTAGAATCTTGGGCTAATAACTTCTAAGCAAAGTATGCCACTGCTGCTGCTCCTGCTGCTGCTGTTACTATTATTAACAGATTTAAAATTCTCTTTCCTTTAATTGGTTTCTTTAGGGCAGGGACTCTGTCAATTATTTTATTTCCTCACATTCTCAATTACTGTACCTGGCATATGACCGGTACAAAAAGTCAATAAATATTTTCTAAATGAATGAGTTAGTAATTTTTAATTGAAAAAAAATCATAACTGGTGCCTTTCTAAGACATCAAACCATCTGATCATCAAAATGTATCATTTAGTGACATTGTAACTTCACAAAACAATAGCTGCTAAATTCATACACTACTTTCCTATTCCCCTGAAATATCACCGATGCAATATCTAAGGGCAAAAGGATAAAAGTGAGAGTGAGATTCAGGAAGAATCAGGATTCAGTTTAGAGGCCATAAGAAAGACTGTGTACCAAAGCCCAAAGTCTTATTGGTTAATATAATTCTGCTGCAGGATGGGCATTACTTTTTTGGAAAATAATTTCAAATACCAGAGGAGTTTTTACACAGTTGGTTTAGTTACAATAGAAAATATGGGCAGTGTAGATAATAAGATAACAGAACTTACCCTAATTTCACTTCATTCTCAACTATACCCACCATAATACTGGGAAGTCTGGTTTGACAGCAGACATTGAATACTCAAAATTTGAAGGATTTGAAATATCAATACTGACTAGTAGTGTTCTGGATTTTTTTTCAAGAATAATATGTCGAGTTTTTGCTTTTTTGTTTTTAATGTGGAATAAAACCAAATTTTGCATGTTAAAATAAGGCACAAATCACTTTAAAATACCTTGAGATAATTATGTTATTTGTAAGTGGCTAAAAATCCTCAGAAAAAACATAGCATCATAGCCAAACATCTTGTGAGGTGACAAAGATAGAAAAATAATTTAGATTTCTGAGGCCATATGTTTATTATATAAATGGACTAAAATTCAAGTTTGGCCTATGCCACACTCATGGTTATCTCATTCTCCAGACTATGAGTTCTGAAAAGAAAAAAAAAAAACAAAAACACTTCATTTCCAAATTTAGGTTAAAAGGCTGCATTACACTGTTTTCAAAAATTCTGAAGAATATTTGTCAAGCAGATTAACAACCAGAGTAACCTTTTTTCTTTCTCATTTAAAACAGTCCTTTTGATATAGGGACTATATTCTGTTACACATGTATACTTCAGTGAAATAAATTGGAATTTTTTAATAACCACATAAGGTGAAATTTGACAAGAACTTTGAGTCTTCTACATTAAAAAAATAAGGATTAAACATTTTTTACTTAATATATACAGAGTCCAGATCATAAGGAAGATAAGACTCCCTTTCTTTGTAATTGGAGCTACATAAATTATTTGGAATTCTCCTGCATGCATGAAATAAAAAATTGTCTCAAATAAAACATATTCATTTAGACTTTGAAATGTGGGAAAAACTTAGTCATTTTCTCTAAATTATTTAAAGACTGACCTGAATATTTTTAAGCTATGTTTTCAATAAACCCCCTTCTAGGATTTTAAATAAAATTATATTCTTTCGGCAAATATTTTAGAGTGAATACAGCCTTTTGGTGGCCCTTAAATGGTTTCTCAAAAATCTTTTCTAAAAAGACAATCCAAAAAAAAATTATGATGGGTCTATAGGGCAGATATACAGAACATATAATAACAAATTAACTATTAACATCATCGTTTTTTTCCTGATTCCACCTGTCAGTCTACTTTACCATGAAGCAGTCTACACATGATTCCTTCTCTGGTGAATTCCAAAGCTTATGGTGAATTTGAGAAAGAAGAGACAAATTTCCAATAAAGGAGAATTCCAAATAATTCACGTAGATCCTCCTCTGCCCTAAAGGAGGGGAAATATTATTCCCTAGGTGTGGGCTGCTTATAGTGACTTCCTTCTGAAAACTACAGTATAGAAGTGTGAGAGGGAGGGTAACTTTAGAAAAGCTGGAAAAACCTGACCGGCCCCACCTTAGCCAGGTCTATCAAGGTCAGCATCAATTCACAAATCATGCTCACAGTACGTACTGTTGATAGGACATTATGTAAAGGGCACTTTGCTTCTCTGCTCTTCCTCCTTAAAACCCACAATCCCAGTGTATTCAAGAGAAAAATATCAGAAAAATTCCATGAGGGGGCACCACACAAAATATCTGACAGTACTCGTCAAAACTGCCAAGGCCATTAAAATCGAGGAAAGGCTAAAGAAACTTCCACAGCCAAGAGGAGCCTGAGGAAACGTGACAGCTGAGGGTAAGGTGGTGTCCTGGAGAGAGAGGGTCTCGGAACAGAATACAGGCGTTAGGGAAAACTAAGAAACTGTGGCTAATATATGGCCTATCATCACACGGGTTCATTAATTACAACTAATGTACCGTGGGGAGGTACAGTGTCAATAAGGGAGAAGTAACAGGGATGTACAGGAACTCCAGGTACTGTTAATATCTTTGCCACTTTTTGTGAATTGAAAACTTCTCAATTACAAAGTCAATTTTAAAAAAGGAAATTTGAGATGATTATATGAAGCATTTTGATAGAGAATTAATAGTTCAGAAAGAAAAGTTCATCAGGATAGTTTATGTTGCATTTGGCTTTCTTCGGGTGGACCCCTAGACAGCAAAGGCAGGCAGAGAGACTGAACATTTTTACAGTGTCTCCCTTGTAAACAGAAGTCATTAACTTCACATTAGAATTCAGCACTTCATATATCACTGAATAAAAGGTAAATGTATACCTTTATGCTTTTTGGAAAACATGGCTGCAGTGCCCTTACATAATCAAAGTATTTCTAGAAAAGAGCTTTTTAATCTTGAAAAAAATGAATTTTGACCTTGATTTGATGACTAGAAAAAGGCATTATTGCTCTGAACACCAATAACTTATCCTCCAAACTTTACATGTAATTTCATAAATTATTTAAGTATGCTTAATACAGCTTTAAGATTAAGGCAATTAGTGGGATAACAGTTTTATCAGTTTCAGGCTAGTTTTGATATCTTGATCAGTTCATGCTCAACCAGATTAGTAGAGTAGCTACTGGTTATGTGCATGGGTTATATATGCATACTTAGTTTAAATAAAAAGAATGGCAGTAAGCACCAAATACTAGGAAATCATATGTTCAGTACATATGTGTACATCCATACTAGTACCTGATTTAAAAGCACAGAAGAGTAATTTGCTTTATATTTAAAAATCAATGGGTAACATATATCCATGAAATGAACAAGTGCGGGAAATATATGTTCCCAATGAAAAAAAATTAAATAGCAGTAAGAATTTTCATTCCTACAAGTGTTTATTATACAGATGGCGTGGAATCCCACAATGTCTCCATAGAATCCTGGGTGTAAGACTTAGGCTTGGTTTCCGCTCCCACTTTCTTCTGAAATGTTTAAGCTCTGTTGGAAGTCAGATGACAAATGACATAATGACACTACTTCATGGAGCAGTCCGATGTCTTCTGCAGTCTCTTTGGCCTCTTTCCCTTCTTTTTCCCATGGAACAAAAGTAGATGAACGTTGCCCGGGGCTAGATGTGAGCAGATCACCTGAGATCTGGCTTAGTGTTTCCTTCTTGTCTGTTTTTCCTTCGTTGGTTCGGGAGACTTCGGGGGATGCCAGTGGGAAATCCAGTCCTGAAGTTGTGGCTGGTTTACCGGTTGCAGGAGGGCCACCCACACTGTCATCGCTGAGGTGTTTTTCGCTATTTTCCTCTTCCAGGATAAAGAGAGAATCTGTCAAACCGCTAGAGGAAACCCGTTTCCTGGGAGATGGAGGGAGGTGTTTGCCATGAAGGGCACTGTCATCCTGCCCCAGGTTCCACTCTGCCTGATCCCCAGAACCACCACAGAAGAGGGCCAGGTTATTCTCACTCGGAGCATTGGATTTATTCTGAAAGAAGGCACAACAAATTCAGAGAACTTTTAATAAGCACTAATTTAGTGGGTTTTTTCCCATTTTGAAGTCAATGTTAATATCTCTGAAGGCTGGGAACTTGGAAGTTCCTGCCAGAAGGAATATAATGTTGACAGTTAATTTTAGATACCTCTGAATACCTCTATTAACAGGGAGGAAGTGGAATGAACTTTAGTTTTCATGCCCTTAGAACTGTCACCTATCAAATTCAAAATGGATATATATAACTAATGTCAAGTTCTAAAGCCACTTACACTCAAGAAGAGGGCTGCCATTACTTATCCTTCTTTCTCTGTTTTTGAAGCATTTGGTTCCATTTGTTTAAAACCATATCCATTTTTAAAATAATAAAATAGAAAAAAAAGATCTGAATGAATGCTTATGTTAAAGTTTGTTAAAAACCCAGGAAATAAAGGAAAAAAGTGGAACCATTTCATGTTTAAGAATTTACCCAGAGAAGAAAATTAGATTGCAAGAAAATATTTCTGCTTGACAAAAGAATTTCAATTAATCACAATAACCACCAGAACTGGATAAGTGAAAGGGAAAATATTGGGATTTTATTACTAGAAATAGTTCTTAAGAATTACTTTTTGCCATATTTTTAAAGTTTTTACACTTACCTACTCAGAGGTTAAATACTTCTACCAAATTTTAAGACTGTAAGATCACGAAATAACAGAAAGGACAACAATGTTTTCTTTTAATTTTATAAGTAAAGAAATCAACTAACCGTAGGCTTGTAATCAATATCATCCATTGATCTGAAGAAATCCAAGCTTTTTGCAGCTGCCAGCTTCCCTTGATCTGAGCTGTGTGTGCTCAAGGTATCAAGGATCTCTCCCAGTAAGTCCATTTCACCTGAGTAAGGGGTCTTTACTCTTGTTTCAACAGAGTCATCACTTTCATAAAAATAAGCAGAGGCTTCTTCACCATCTTCAGAAGACAACCTGAAAGAAAAAAACAAAAAACAAAAAAAACACTGTAGTAGGTCTGGAACCACATACACTGCATGTCAGTAAGATCTCACCACATTCAGTTCATGGGAATTTTTAAAATCAAAGTGGTATTTCAGTGGAATGAGAAAAAAAGTGATAATTTGTTCATAACAAAATACTTTAAAGTAATGTATATTATCAGTTGGCATACTGAAAATTTTAAGTACAAGCCTTAAGAACAAGCCTCAAGTTTATGGTACACCTTAATCAATCTGAAATTAGAAACTAGGCTTCTCACACCGTCTAATTCTGTGGGATCTGAAATGTTACTTTAGGAATATTAGATTGAACTCTTATAAAATTTGCTATAGCCCAGTTCACTTTCAATATTTTATAGGTTTCTCTTTTATTTATCCACTTATTAGAGAAGCATGCACTTTCCTATAAAGGAATACTTAAAGGAAAAAAAATGTCCATGTTGTTATCCCCATATATCTTAAAATTGCTAAAAAGCTAAAAACGTTTTCTCCTATATTAAAATAATTATAGGAAAATTTAGTTATTCTCTTATATTAAAATTAATTTATACTGCTTATTAAATATTCTGATTCTGGTATCACCACAGATCTAAGTCTTTCATACCCCTGGTTCCATTTGTTTCAATTGACTCTCACCACGGCTCTTGACATTCAACCTTCCCCTAACTAGCATGAGGGCAAGAGCCTAACTCAGGTGCGCTTCCAGTTCCCCTTCACCCTACCCCAGATATTTCTGCGGATATTACTGCATTCAGGGAACAAGATATTTCAGGTCCATGTCTTGCTTTCCTGTCTCAAGATATCCCCCACAGCGTTTCAAGGTTCCTTTTGGTGAAGACCAGAACAATCCAAGGGAGCAAGATCTGAGTTCTAGGGGTGCAACCTCTTGGAAACATTCTTTCTCACCTAAACCTTCTTCAGGAAGCCACACCACCTAACAGACACCAGCATGTGGGCACTACTCACTTGCTTGCTCTTTCATGGTCATCATCATCCTCATCATTCAGAGCTCCATCGAGGCTCTTAAGAGGTCTTTTTAAGCGGGCCTAGAAAGAGAAATTGAAAATAAATTGGCATTAGCAGTTTAAAATACATATCTTCAATAGATTTTAAAAGAACAATGTGATTCAATAAGGCATATTTCAAAAATAAATATGCATTCAGGGTTTTTGAATATTACCCAACGACTTAAAAAGAGGGGAGAGAATTAGGTAATATTTACCTCAACACTTACTCCTCACACTGATAAATAAAACATAAATCACTTGATCGAATGCAAACAGAGTCGCATGAGTTTTCAGGCCCTGATTTAGAAATATTGGATCTGGAGTCAATCATATTCCAGTGTACATTCACATAGTTTCAATAACCAATAATAATATCAATATTTTCAATAATATCAATGATGAATATTTTCCAGTTTTGTTTCATTTATTCTCCATGAACAATCTCCTTCACTCCAAATATTTTAAAACAGTGCTTCTCAAACCCTCAAACCTTAATGTGCCACAAATCTCTTAGAGATGTATAAAAATGCAAAAAATGTACATTCAGGTTCTATGAGGGCAGAGAATTAAGTTCGTGAACTCATCCTGGAAAAAGTGCTCCCTACCTCCTATGGTCACCTTTGAAGTACTCATCCTGGGAAGAAATTCTGAAACTCTTTTCTTGAATGCCCATTAGAGCTGTCATCTTCCGAGGACTGACAATTAAGTTTGTGAACTCATCCTAGAAAAAGTGCTTTGAAGGGAGGACTAGGCAGTGGCATTGGTGCACAGCTTCCCAAAGGGAGCACTTTGAAGGTGACCATGGTGACAGTCAGCAGTGAGATATGCAGTACTTCTCCTAGCATGAGTCCGCAAACTTAACTGTCTGACCCCCTACAGCCCTTCTGGGGACTGACTTTCTGCATTTCTAACCAGCTCTTAGGTGAGGGCAATGCTGCTGGATCTTGGGGTCACACTTGGAACAGCAAGTTTTTGAAGCAAATCCCAGACAATTTATCATTTCACTTGTAAGTACTTCATTATAGATTTTTCACAAAGACATTTAGTATAACCAAAATTATCATAGCTAGTAAATTAATAATTCTTTAATATTTTATATTACCCAAACTTTATTTATATTCCACTATTGCTACCAAAACCAGTAATTTGGGCGTTCCTTGTGTGTTCCTAGAGCAACTTTATGTACCTTAGTCACATGTGTACTATGTATATGTGTACATAATTTTTTTTTAATTTACATTTTGTAGAGATGTGGTCTTATCACACTGTACCTGTGAGCATGGTTAAACTCTCTCTCTCCCACTGTACAGTAGGCTCCTAGGGGCAGACACCTTGCTGATTAATCTGTCATACCCACAGAACCTAGCATTTTGTGTAGTATATACTAGTTCCAAGAAAACTGTAAAAGATTTTGAAAGGTGCAAAATTACTGGAAAGTGTCAATCAGTGGAATTATGGATATCGTGTGTTAGAAGATCCCATGGATTATCTGAGTCTGTAGTGCTCCGCATCTTTTATTATCTTTAACCACATTTCCAGGATATAATTTGGACAAATTGTACAACCAAGGCATTATCTGAAGTGGCAGTTATGACAAGCCGCCTATTATGGGACATAAAATATATGGCTATATTTTATGAAGCCTAAAGCCTATAAAACCCTCCTAAGAAAATCTGTGTGGTGCCTCCCTGAGAGAATCCAACCTTATAGGAAATAAGGCCCTTCCCTAGAAGGCCAAGAACTTCAGCAAATTTGGAGACCCTCAAAAGAACTCACCCTAATTTATAGGTATTCCAGGTAAAAATATTATGAAAAATTTGGGGGCTTAGTTTCTTAGCCTAACAATAGCAAATAACAGAGAATTTTATAAGCCTAATCCTAGAGTTCTCATGAAAGCTTAAAGAGAGAAGTAAATTCTCTGGCCTTAGCTAGTCAATACCACATGGTTCTAGATTTATAAGGCAAACTCAAGGAGGCTTAAATGGTTAATTGGCTTTCTTGTTGTCCCAACATAAATAATCAGGCCAAGTCTAATGAAAACAGCCTTCCTATTGTGAACAGAAATAATCTTTGAGATTTATGAAGCTCACAAGTGGGGAATACAGTTGAGAAAATTGTAGAACACTTTGAAATGGGCAAAAAAATATGATTGTCCTTTCAGAGGAATGTTTGGTATTATCTATGATTCTTTTTCAGATTTTCTGACACTATATAGGTCTACATCATTCATAGTCTCAATCTTATAGCTCTCTACAAACAGAAGATAATTTTTAGAAGACTGATGATAATGCAAATGCTTTTTTTAAAAAGATGCCTTCTCACTCTGTCCCCCAGACTACAGTACAGCGATAACCATCATAGCCCACTTCAACCTCAAATTCCTGGGCTCAAGGAATTCTCCTGCCTTAGGCTCCCAACAACTGGGACTCCAGCTATGCATGACCACACCTGCATAATTTTTTTTTATTTTATGTTTTGTAGAGATGTGGTCTTTCTATGTTGCCTGGGCTGGTCTCAAACTCCTGAGGTTCAAGTGATCCTCCCAACTTGGCCTCATAAAATGCTGCGATTACAGGTGTAGCCTTCGTACCTGGCTTTTGTTTCTTGTGCCTGTACATATGCAAGTAAATTTTGTCCAGTGGAGATTACTACATTGTAGATATTGATGGTTTTGAATCAGACGGCACACACATTTCAGTATTGATGACTGTCCATGTTTCTGTTCTTTGGATTGTCCTGTGTACCAGCTTACTAGTTCTCTCACTAATTAATGAGTTAAATAACACATGAGAGTAATAATTTCACTCTACAATGTAAAATTATTCTTCAGAGTAGGAAGAAATGTTTTCTGAATAAATGAATATCTGCATACATAGTAGGTAATTTCAATTACTTATTAAATGAATTAATCAACTGATAAGAAAATATACAACACAAAGAATAAAGTACTTTAAAAATTGATCAACATAAGAATTTTTAGTGTCTACAAATCACAGAACAGAATTATATTCATTCATTCAACAAAAATTATAAAAATGCCTACCATGTGCCAGGCATTAGGTCACTTGTTAGGGTATACTTAGGATCAAGAACAGGGCTCGTTGCCCTCATGGGTATTATATTCTATTAAATGAGATATGACTTAAATTGGATATTCATACAAATAATAATAATAATTAGGATTATAATTAATCTGTCCTAAGCTACTATTGCTATGGAAGCACTTCAGGAGTTGCCCTAGTTTGGAAGGTCAAGGGAAGCCTTTCCGTGAAAGATACTTGAGTTGAGCTCTGCAGGTTAGTAGAAGACAAAATGAGATAACGATGCATGTGAAGTTCCTGTGGTGAGACAGCTGGGCAAGCATAAGAGAATGAAAGATAACTTTTGGTGAGCTGTGGAATAGAACTTGTGTTGGCGCACAGAATTGTTTAAGGGGTCCGTAAAAGCCTGCAGTTACTCTTTTGATCACTAGATGGCAGACATATACCAAGAAGGCAAAAGTCAGAGAATTTGAATTCATGAGAGAGATCAGAGAACTAGCAGGAAAAGTATGAGAGATTAGAACTTGTTGGAGAGGTAGGCAAGGTTTGGACCCTGGCCTTCCAGAACCAAATAAGGAAGGGCAGGCAACAGAATGTCATTTAATCAACAAATACTCCTTGAGAACCCCCTGAAAGCTGACATTGTACACTCCCTGGAAGTGCGGTAGCAGCCACATCCCATTCTCTTTCAGAGCTTTGTGTCTCCTCATTCCAGCATCTTCTCATCATTTATCGCGTGCATGCAGCCATCTTCTATGTTGTGAAGTGTACAAGAGAAATGAGAAAGTCCCTCTTCTCAAGACATTCAAAAAACAAAGCATGACAAATGCCAAAATATTAAACAGTTATAGATAAAACTTCTTATTCCTCATTGTATGAATATACTCAAATTGAAACTTTGATCACAGATGAAAACTTACATAAATGACCAGAGTACTCATCAGAATTAATGTGATATTACCTAAACTGTAATATTCCTAATAATGTAAAGCAGGTCCATTCAGCAGAGTAATAATAAGGAATTGTAATTACATTCTATAAATAATGGTAAATTCTGGGATTAAATAAGAAGGTATCCAAGTTTCTGAAGTGTACAGACCCGATACAGCTACGATGTTTAAAATGGTCATGTCACTAGTTCTGTGTGGGCTGTGCAAATTAGCAACTCCCTTGGGAGGAAGCATTACCCAAAATAAAAATTTTTTGATGCAAAATACATCATAAGAAACAAAGTAAGCAGAGTTTTATATTAATTTGATACAATGAATTAACATGGGGAACTAGATATACTTAAATAGACTTCTACTAGGGTCTAAACACACATAATTAGAAAATAAAATTTTACTGCCATGAAAGTGTAAAATGTAAAGAGAATATCTAGTGTACTTTATAGAAAAATGTACATACTTTATATAAAAATTCAGTGTTCATTCGCATGACAAAGGACGCTTGCTAAGAATGTGAAAAGATACTAAAATAATAAAAATAAAAGTTATCAGTGTGGAATGAAGCTCATTGGAGAAGATACCCCACTAGGGGTTTTGATCCTAGACCTAGATATTGAATGAAATAAAGTAAATAAACTGGCAAAGATGAAAAGGACAAGTATTTATATGAAAGAAAAAAAAAACATATAAAAACCGTACACAGAAAGTTACAAAGGTAGAAGGACCATGTCACAAAACAATGGAACTTAATGTTCCAAAGACCTGTTAATCTTTCCATTAATGCTTCCATTTTGATCATTAGATGGCAGGTAATAGATTAATAGGCAAAATGATGGGCAAGTTCACATTCCTAGATGGATTTATGGGGGAAGGGAATAAGGGTAGTTGAATGAAAAAATACGACATTTTAGACTTCATGAAATCAAGATACTTGTAACATGTGAATGTTTTGAAAGTCTCCACTCAAGACTCATTCAAGTCTCTACAATCTCTACTACTGCTCTCATTTTAGAGTTGAGGCAACTGAGGTCCAGAGTGTTTCTTGCTCATC